GAGTTACTAATTTCACAATATTCTTTAATAGACAAATGTGATAAGACCATTTTACTAAAAGGAATATTACCTAACTCACTCAGCAAGCATACCTGCTTCCCAGGATGCAGCCAGATACTGTTTTGTTGTCCAGGATGACAATTCCCAGGCCATTTCTGGACTATTCTTCTGAAATCAGGGTCCTATTTCTAGTCATCAGCTGCCTAAAATTACTTTGTTTCTCCTTTCCCTTCAGGATTCTCAGCAGAAGACATGCATTAGAGGAGGAGAATGCAAAGCTTGCATCTTTTTAATTGGCCTCGAAGGCAGAATGGAGACATTCTCATTAGCATGCTTATTTCTTGTGCTTCTGTGCTTTGGCACAGGGAATGTGACTGTCCCGGGTCCGTGCTGCTTATTAAAACCCCAGGTAATAATTGCATATAGGACATACAGTGGTATTGGCGGACGATCTTGCTTCATTTCCATTAGTGAATGTAACTTTATCATAAATGATGCTTTACAGAACTAAACAATGATATTTCCTAAAGTGTGTCTAACTATTTACATCTTCATATGTAAGATTTAGAGCCACCAGAAAAGCTTTATCTAGAACTCCTTTTTATTAATAAAATTGGCATTCATTTCTTCTGTGCCTTTATTGATAAAAGGCACTGTTGACCTTATAAGAATTGCATTTAGTGTACATAAAGGTATTTGAGCAAGAAATGTTAGTCAAATCTTTTAATTTTTTTCCCTATTCTTTAGTGGTTTTTGTTTTGTGTTTTCTTTTTTTTGACAGTTGGCAGATTTTTCTCAGGTTGAATAACGGGTTTGAAACAAAGCTATGCAGGAATGTACAAGCCACTTTACTGCATAGACTCAAATGTATTTTAAAAAAATCCAAAGATAAACTAAAAAATCCAAACCTTTGAACTTTGTTCTTAAAATGTCTATGACACACTGAAATATCTTAATTAGTCAACTCCCCCTGTACAAATATTCTAGGAAAGCTTAGGTAAACTTGAAAGTATTCAAAAGCAAAGGCAGAAAGATATTTTTAGCAGACGTTACTGCTAAAATTAGCGGATTTCTTGTAGAATGTTTAGGCTCTTTTATGCTAGTACTCAAGTATTTTAGTGTCTGAGGAATGTTTAAATACTTGCTATAAATAATCTAAGGAAAAATAATTACTCAGATATTTTGCTCAAGTCAATTCATAAAAGAGTCTCACACCACACACCACCCCCCACCACTGCCAGACAAATTTTGCAGATAATTTTCTATGGGTTCAACTTACGTGGGTATTGAGAGGTTTTTCTACAAAGAGAAGGTCTGGGTTTTTTTGGAGTCTATTTGAATGATACTGCGTGAAGAATACATTGTCTAAGATTGGGGGATTTGTTCATGCACAAACAATGAATCATGGAACACTACATCAAAAACTAATGATGGAATGTATGGTGATTAACATAACAATAAAAAATTATTTAAAATAAATAAAATAAAAACAAAAAAAAAAAGATTGGGGGATTTGTGAACTAGACACCTAAAGTAGGAGGAACAGACGTTAATTTAGTATCGTCAGGCAAAAATACCCCAGTTCGTGTACAACTGAAGTTGGGAGCAAAGAGGCATAGAAGTCACACCTCAAAAAATAAAATAAAATAAAATAAAATCCCTATGTAGTTGTGAGACCTGTTTGTGCGGCATCCAGGTAAAACAAGACAATAGCAGAAAAGGTGCTGGTGTTTAAGCCATGAATAACCTCAAGACATTTGTTACATGTGTTTCCAACAAAATGTTACTTTTATGGATTTTGATATACTCATTTCTCTAGGGAAAAAAAAATCAATGTGCTGTTTTATAAGATAGGAAGAGACTCTGAATATAGATTTCCTGCACCATTGTATGAGGTTTTCTTTCCATGTCATTATGGTTTCAATTTCAAAATAGTTATTCTTGGTGCTCTCAGATCGCTTTCCTGGTGTTACCATCATAACCAGTGGTATACATTTATTTATTTATTTATTCCCAGAGGAATGCCAATGGATTTCTCCCAGATGAAAAACAAAGGACTTGTTACAAACTACTACGGAGCTTCTTTCTGTTGAAGTATTATGGACAAGTGTATCCTATTTTATAGCATAATATCAATCTATAACTTTAATGAGAAAACAACTTTTTTGATACCCTAAGTTAAAAAAAAAAAAACCCCACAGGTAATAGAATCATCTTTGTTTGCAGGAAGTCACTGGGATTTATTTATTCATGGCCTGATACAATTTCAAAAAAGTGCTCTTTTGAACAAGAAATGACTCATATACATCGAGGAGCTCTTGAATGTCACCCAGGATTTAGTTACCACTGTGAGATTAAAAATGCATTAAAATGCTCGGCAGCTCTCAGGCTGACAAGGGAGAAAGAAAGGAGAGAGGGACCATGAAATAAAGTAGGTGATGTTGAAAGAAAGGGGGTCACAATCCATGTAAATGAGAAAGAAAGAGGCAAGTCAATTCCATAGACAAGCTATGGAATAGGATGGGCGGTCTCCTTGGACTTAACTATTACACCCAAGTGGGCGAATCCATTTTGAAAGTTACTCTAAACGGGTCATTACCGGCAAAATGACGGTTAAGAAGAAATGGACAAGAGTCGGCAAAATCCTGAATCCTGAGAAATGACCTAAAAAGCCAGATAAGGACATTTTGAAATAGCACACATAATAAGTAAGATAGCACTGGGGTGGGGGGGGGGCTATATTCTGTAGTCATTTGGTACAAGTAGCATCCATAATGGAACCTAATCAGAATTATAAAGTGATCAGCTTGAAAGTTTAATTTAAACATAAATTTAAAGTGGTACTTTAAGGATCATGGCCACAAGTATAATCTCCCTGGATAGTGTAGGAGACAGGACAAAAGGTCCCGAATAAGAACTAATCATTATTCACACCTTAAAGTTCTTTACAAGACATTCAGAATATCTTTGTAATAGATATTACTCCTTACTCATGCAGAAACCTCTGTGCATCTCTAAGTGCAGAGATGGATCTGCACTCCATCAACCTTAGGTTCTTTTCTAAATACTACCTCCACATCGTAAGTAGGCACTACAAAGGCACACACACACACACACACCTGTGTGCACACACCTTTTCTGTGTCTGTGTTAAAGAACATGCTCCATCACTCATTTTTTTTTTTTTTTGACGCCGATGTTCTAACGCCCCCCAAATGGTTAGGATTATAATTTGCATTCAACACCTACTTCCTTCTCACTGAATCAGATCCAAAGTGTGCATTTAAATTTATCAAACATGAGTATAATAGCTACTGCAGATGAACACCATTTTACAGGAACCTAATAAATTTCACAAAGCAAAGCAATCATCTCATTAAAAAAAAAAAAAACTTCGCCGCAAAATTCATTTAAATACATTATTTAGTCTATCTAAAATAGTTCTCCTAATTCCAAGTTTCAACAGATTAAGCACATGTTATTACCAACTGTTGACCTTTTTGGAATCGCGGTTTTTCATTAGAATTAAATGAGCAGTATACAAGGCTAAAATATTTTAAAATATTCTAATTCACCATTCGCAATTCTGAGAAAGCCTGTTTTAATCAAAATGTGTTATTCTGGCCTTTTTGACCTACAAGGAACGCATTTCTCAGAAAAATGCAGCCTGATAGCATAATCCGTTTCACTTAATGGTGTCGTGACTACTCTTCTTTCTACTTAAGGCACTTTTTACGGGAGTTAAAAGTTGTGGCAGCTTCTTATAACTGGGCTTCGTTATTCTTTGAGTTGTGTAATTAAAATGATCACATAAAATAAAAACCTGGTGGTGCCGGTCAATCAAAAGAGTTTTGTGCTTTTAAAGATCAAGAATCAAATGTCAAGAAGAACTCATCCTAGGAGGACCCCAACCGCAACTGAGGTCCCAGTGACCGACATCAATAAATAAAAAGGCGATTAACTAACAAGGCACGGAGGACAGTTTCCGGGAGGCTGGCTGGCTGGCCACACATTCTGAATTCTTTACAATCCAAGGTTCAGTGTCATATTGGTAGCCATAGACCGTACTTCTGAGAAAAAGAAACCCAATATACAAAACGGTCAATGGCATCCGATTAAAACTAATTGATAGTCAGTCATTTTGCCAACAGCATGTTCTTTTTTTAAAAAATAATAAAACCTAATCACAGTGATTTGTGATTGCAATCATCCACAGGATTATGTGTCAGAACAATGTTTCCAACATGAAATGCATCTGCCTAAAGATGCAATGGACCTTCCATTGTTGGCTTTTTGCATTCAGCTCTGTTTGTTATACGTTCATTCCATCCGGTAGTCAGGAAGAAGGAGTATTTAAAACCACCACTTCCCCCCACCCCCCTAACAACTGCAGCTGTTTCTACTGAGTAATAAAAGTTGCTGGAGAAATCATATATACACATACATGTAAAATTAGGGAAACAAGCTGCTTTATTGCCCCGATTTAAAATAAGCTCAATCAGTAGAAAAGAAAAATACTATAATATACAGCTTGATGAGCAGCTGAAGACAAGAATAGACTCAGACACGATTTTAGAATTCAGGCTATATCTCACTCAACGATGTTTGAATGAGATGAAGGACATGTCTCCTTTAAATTTTTTTCTAAACCACTGAATGAACAAGTGGAATTTACGGGGGAATGTAACCCAAAATAGACAGATTCATAAAACTTCCTTTAGTATTAGCGTGAGGCTTTAAAGGCAGAAAAAGGAAGGTCTCACTGCTGTTTCATTTATAAAGTTGTAACATTTTGTAAATCTTCATCAATAAGAATTCTAAATTAAAAGAATAACTTCCCATAAGTCAGTGATAAAATTTAAGTTATGCAGAACAGATTGTTAACCTCTTTCACTAGGGCAAACAACTATAGCAACCGTAGGGCAAGGTAAGAATTAAAATATTGATTCACAAAATTACAAAGATTAAATCAAGAGGCATGGTAATCGATATCCCAAAGGTCTAGGGGAAAGGACATTGAAAGTATTGGCAAAATAAGAAAAAAGTCTTACTTTTGACGGTCGCTGTCCGGGTACAGTTGTAGAGAATGGCCAACTCGCCAAACACTTTTCCTGGACCCATGGTGCAGAGCTTCACGCCTTCTTTTGTAACTTCAACCTTACCATCTAGAACAAAGAGACAACGTCATTTTAATTCTCTTCCATGCTTCATTTCATGTGTTGTATTTTCAACATGCAACGAGGAGTATGAGGCTCTTCTTTAAAACTGCAAAGCAATTACCAATGAAGACCAAGCCCTCACCCAGAGATGCAATGCAAGAAATGCAATGAATCATGTCAGTTAAGAAATCCCATCCTTTTTTAAATTAATCACCGATAAGAGGCACCTGGGTGGCTCAGTTGATTGGGCGTCTGCCTTCGGCTCAGGTCAGGATCCCAGGGTCCTGGGATCAAGCCCCACATTGGGCTCCCTGCTCAGCTGGGAGCCTGCTTCTTCCTTTCCCTGTCCCTCCCCCTGCTTGTGCTCTCTCCCTCTCTGTCAAATAAATGAAAAAAATTTTTTAAAAAAATTAATCACTGATAAGATCTGAGGTACGACTGAAAGAAAGAAAAAGACAGAAAAGACAAAAAGGTAAACATGCGTTTTTCCAAATACGAATTAGAAAACTATTGTAATTCCATTTTTAATGTCATTTTGAACCAGAGCGAAAACCTGGGTAAGTGGGTGCATTTTCTACAGCACACTTCATACGTGGGAATTGTCATTTGAGTAAAGCACATCTATTACAGGAAGGGAGATTACTTTGACCCTTGGGAACCGTTTAATTGCAGCTCATGTTATCTTTTATTTTTAAGCATCTTATCTGACTTGGGCAAGACTGTTTTATCTGCTTCCCAGTCCGGCAACACTGGCCGTAAGGACAAATAAACTAGGAGGGTTGTGGGGGAAACAGAGACATTAGGTCCATTTATGTTCCACAAAGGACTTGGAAAATGTAACGATAAGGAAGGAAAGAGCCAAGGATACATGGACCCTGGTTATACATTGTTGCCTGCAAGAAAGGCAAATGCTATCCATGAGGAAATGAAAGAAATAGATTTTTTTAAAAGGTACAGCTACATGCACCAGAAATTCTCTCACCTCACACAATGGGGGGTGGGGTTGGAAATAAATGGGCAACACAATCCATTCTAGACTAATAGCCCCCCCACACACACACACTTCAGTTATTCTTCCGAGTTACTTATCCACAGTCTAAGGAAGAGCCTTCTGCTTGGCATTAGCTAGTGAATGAATGAAAGGAGCTAACGCTACCAAATTTTCTCCAAACTTCAGACCTACGTGCATCAACTTCATAATTGTTCCTGTATCTACGTGTTTCCTGTAATGTTTAACTTTTTAGAGTACGGGCTTTAAACATACTCCTGCTTTAAAAAACAAACAAAATCAACCTAGTCTCAACTAAGCAATAACATTTGTAAAAATCACAGGGTCGATGTGCTAATTTCTTCAAACACCCGTTGAGATAAAATGTTCAATATCAAAAAACTTCTTGGGAAAGTGTAATCCATGTACCAGTCATGTGAGGTCAACCCTTCAGAGAACATTGTTCTTTTGACCCTGAAAACCATTTCATGTAAATGCTATCAGTGGAGAGAGAATTCTTCAGTAATTAGGATAAAATTTCACATAAGGTCTATTCACTACTCTTGAACTCTGTGTGTACCTCCTCTGTGTATAAAGAAATTATTCAGGAATGAACAAATCCAACAATTCTAAAAGTTTGGACATACTTTCTTAGGCAGGTCTGGCCACTCAAAATTTAGTCTAGCTTTGTATGCCTTGTTTCTTGACTGCAGAAAATAAAACTCTTGTGATAGGTACACCAATACCAGCCCAGTAAATCCGTATTTTCATAAGCCACAGATGTCCCCCACCCCCTCCCTTTCCATGGTAAGCCTGCCCCTTAACAAATTTCCTCTGCTACTTGAGAATGAGAAACAGGCTCAGAACGTAATATGGTTAGGAGATTTATAAGTCATTAGAAGTCAGACCAGGAGTTAAATTCTGGTTCTCTTATCTGTTGCTTATGAGCCTTGTGACCTTGGGCAAGTTATTAGGTTCTTCATGCCTTGGTTTCTTCATTAACAAAATAGATGAAAGAAAAGCACCTATCTCATCAGGTGGTTGATAAAATGAAATGATTAAAACGGGCAATGCTGAGCACAAGGCCCGGCATATAGCAAATGGTCAATAAATACTAGCTCTTATTATTGGGGTTATTTTTATTATATGTCTTATCTAGAACTGAAACACAGTATTCCAAAATCTATTACAGAAACCGATCAAGTCTACATAGGTTAGTAGGTTTGTGGTTTTTTGTTTGTTTGTTTGTTTGTTTTTTAAATGGAGAAAGTATTTGTTTCAGATTCTCTCTTTGGGGGGGGAGGGAGTGCATTTGAGAACTTTTGGGTTCAAATCAATATTAAACCCAAAGAAGACAATGGCATTTCGAGAAGTCGCCGTGATCTACGTGGCAGAATGCATCCACTTTGTGCTCTTCCTCACTTGGCCATGTGCAGCCAACATTCCACAAGCTTTGCTTTAGCAAGTACACTCTTATGCTGGAGATGCCCATGAAGGACAAAGTAACAACGTTCCAGGGCATTACAACATTTTCTGGAAGTAAAGCTCTAGCTTCAATGATACTAAAGGAACTAAGAGCAAAATGAGCAATGCCTAAATAACTTCCATGCATAACTGATTTTGTACAAGTCTGCTTCGCTCTCTCCTTGGGTCCCATAGGCGGAAGTCTTCAGTGGAAAGGGATGCAGACGAGCAAGACCACTACTAAGAATCCTGCTGGACAGCTTGACAATAAGGCTTCTCAACTAATAAAAGATGAGAAACACAGGACTCTCATTTTCAGCTCAGTGGTTTCTTAAAGGACATCTGGGTACCCGCCACATCTAAGCCAATTAATAAAATGCATATTCCCCACTCTGGGAAATTGTAACTGTTCCTACACTGCAATGACACCGCTGTACTTGGTTCTGGTGCTCCTTACTTCTCTGAAAAATCATGCTCATAGAGCACTCATTGATTTTAACTGATAGTGCATCTTGAAACTGATCATGTTTCCTTTGAGATATGACCTCTAGAAAGCTCACAGCCAGAATTATGTAAGACTCTGGGGTTGGCAATGTGTGCATAAATGCATTTCTGGTGCCAACTCATTTTCCTGATCTTATTTTATATTTGCCTAATTTGTTCATCTCTAACTCATTTTTTTAAAGATGGGTATGAATAATTATATATTCATATATGATATAAAGATAGGTATAAATAAGTATACATGTAATAGACATGCATATATATGAACAATCAGTGTTGGTAACAGAAGGTTATAATCCATATTCATTAGAATAGCAAAAAAAAATTTAAGAAGAGATTTACTGGTACAGATTGTATTTGAGAAGTAGAAATGTGGATGTAAAACATCTTTTCTAGGTTAAGTTAAATCCTACAGGTTCAGTATATTCACAGTAGCCAAGTAAGGAAGGACTCTGATCACATATGATAGATGAGAGTTGTCTAGAAAGTGCTTTTTTTTTTTAATGAACGGAAATATCTAAATGATAAACAGAAACACAGTGTTTGTAAAATGTTACTCTGAGTCCCAGTGTGATCACTTTTCCTTCCTCTACCTGCTGTGTGGGTGAATAAGTAATTCAGGGAGGCAGGATCCCTTGGGTGTTAAAAAGATAGGTGCACACACGGCATTAGAGAGTTCTTTCAAAGACATTTGGGAACGTTCCGATTTCCAAGAGCCCAGGAATGTAAGCGATTGAGGTGAAGTGTGAATTTGGTTAAGCTCATTCGCTATACCACACAGCAGCCTTGAAGCAAAACTAGAAGTGATCATACACTTACAAATGATTTCGAAGTACGGAGTGTGTGGTCCACTTATGAAACCTAAGAATAAGACCATCACAAGCTTGCTGCATACACCTGTCCTTTCAAGTGTTAGCGCCATCTTGAAGCCACTCCCCTAGTCTTAGACTGCCCCCCCACCCTTTTTTCCACTCTATGGCTACCTTTGAGGTTTGGTTTAAATTGCCTTCACTTGCATAGAAGGTAGGCAGGCCTATGTGTGTTTGTTTTGGTGGTGAGGGGAACAATGTGGGATAAGACAAATAGGGAAAAAGTCATTTAGGCTCAAAATATAGCAGGCTTTTGCCAGAGGCTTCTACCAACTCAGAAAGAACCCAGCTTGGAGGTTTTGATATAATTATAATTTGCTATTAACTTCAGGAGTGCATGTTGATGAATTTACTTCAGGTCAGCACTGATTAATGTAATTTCTATTTCTCTTAAAGAAATTGCAGAGATTCACTAGCATTTATTCATGACTGTTCAATACTTTAATTTTCAAATATGTTAGATTCCAAATCAAAGATATTTTTTTTCTTCGAGAGTAGCAAAAAGACATTTTCAGAACATACTAGTAAAGTTCTAGACTTTTCCATTATTTTCCCTAACTGAACTCGACAGTGACTAGAGGCTATTAGAACTGTGATTTAGGGAAGTAATGACAATCTGAAATGTGGTCCATCTATACATCCTGCTTTTGTTTTTTTTTAATTCACTTTTGCTTTTAAAAAACATGTTATTACATTGGCATTATTTTTACTATGCACTCTCCCCACCATAAAAAAGAAATATCCAAATCATTTTTATTTGAATTTTGCTAAACTGCTATTGTTTACAGGAGAGGTGTTGGAACCACTGCTTATATAAGATTTCAGGGTGACCATGTCATTCAGCTCTTATCACCCCTGCAATTAGTATGACTAATTGAAAGTTTTATCATAGTACCCTGAATGCCTTGTTTTTAAGGATTTTATTTATTTATTTGAGAGCGAGTGCAGGAGTTGGGGGGAGGGGCAGAGGGAGAGGGAGAAGCAGGCTCTGCGCTGAGCAGGGACCCCGATGTGGGGCTCAATCCCAGGGCCCTGAGATGGTGCCCTGAGCCGAAGGCAGTCGCTTAACCAACTGAGCCACCCAGGCGCCCCCCCTTCCCCCGTATGTATTTTTTGTTCTACTTCAGGTACCAGATGCCCATTGATGATGGAACAAGCTGAGCCCTAAGTCCTGACATTTG